ATTAAATAAAAACTGAAACATTTTGCATCATTTGGAGATTAAATAAAAACTGAAACATTATGAGAGGAAAGAAAAGCTGTTTATGTCAGTAAAATATGAAACCGGAAGATTTTATAAAAAGATTAATAAATCTACAAAATCTGTCAGAAAATGAAAACAATCAAAAGATGTTGAATATTTTCTTTATTGAAAACATGTTTTTATAGATTTTATATAAGTTTATGTTTCTCCAAGAAGACAAACTTTGAAATATAACAAAATATTTCTGCTCCAGACTTCCTGTTTCAAAATTATTATTTTTTTTTTCATTGCAGCAAAAAAAAAAAAAAAATTTGAAATATGAACCAAGTTTATGAAACGATTAAAATCATGATCTGGTTTCTGTTTTAAAAAAAGAAGGAAACCAAATACTTCCTCCCATTTAAACGTCTCGTTTTGCTTTGAAAAGGAGGAATGATCAGAAACAGCAGAGCTCAGATCAGCAAACTGCAGGTTTGAATCTAGAACATTTTTCTATGATCTCATCCTTTCAGATTTAAGCAGATTAAGAGGAAAAAAGGTCCAGATTTATCTCTGTCCTTTAATTCTTACCTTCTGAAGGTCCGAAATCAAACTGCAACCATTTCACTCTCAGCAGCAGCATCTAGTGGTTCTGATCCGGTAACCCCCCCAACCCCCCCCCAGCCTTTATGGTTCCACACGTCAACAGGTTTAATGAAACAGGAGGAGGTCAGAGCGCAGGTGAAGGTCTCTGCAGCCTGAGGAGTCCTGCACATGAAGCACGGGTCCAAACCCGCTGGTTCTGCCAGAACCAACCAGGATCTACATTAGTCTGGATCAGGAACCTGCTGATCCGTCCCATTCAGGGATGTTTTGGTTCTGAACCAGACGTGTTTCAGTGGGACTTTGGGTCTGTGAGGCGCTGAGCTGCAGCCAGAAAACAAAGCAGCTTTCAGACTGAGAGAGATTAGATTACAGCAGAACCTCCTCCAAACGTCCTCCAGCTCACTGACGGGACGGTCTTCCTCTAAAAATACCAAACATGGGAGATAAAAACCTTTTTAGTCTGTTTGCCTTTGATGTAAGCAAACGTCTAATAAAGCGAGAAACGCTTAATGAGGACAAATCTGCTCGCAGGAAGCAGACCTGAAACTATCCTGCTTTTCCTCCAATCATCGCCTTTAATCACAGCTTCAGAGAAGCACAGAGGAAGATCCGTTTGGTTTTGGAGAAGAAAAGGAAAAGAAAAGACGACCGGATCAGGAACTGGATGAGAACAGAAGAGGAAAACCTCTGAGGGTTTTTCTTAGTGTCAATCAATCATAATTACCTGACGAGTCAGACCTACGAGAACTACCAACCAAAGAATCCTAAATAAACTGATAACCATTATTTGACCAAGTTTATAAACTCTAAGGTTTTAGAGTCCGACTCAGTCAGAGTACCAGCTGGTACCAGCTCAGTACCCCGGTACCAAAAACACACCTGAGAGGTTCTGGAGAATAATTAGTCTTTTCAGGTCAGAAAACCTCTGAAGGTCAGAGCTGCAACTTTTTTCAAAAACAATTTATCCACAAAAGTTTTAGATTGGTGCAGAAAAAAAGCAATAATTTTACTATAAAAATATACAGTACATTAATAAATGTTGCATTAATTTTAACTGGTCTTAGAAGATGACTTGGATAATAGCGCGTTGTGACAAACACCAGATACAGCACTGGGACTTGATCAACAGCCGATACTGCACCGTGAC